CAGGCACCCCGGCAACGTCGCGACCAGGGACCCCGGCAACGTCGCGACCAGGCACCCCGGCAACGTCGAGGCCAGCCACGCCCGCTGCCACGCCCGCGACGAGTAATGTGACAGTGGTCAACGGTGAGTAGAGTGGTGACGCTGTCCCTGATACCTTGACGCACACACACATGCGTAGCGGGACGCACACACAAACTCACGCAGGGTATTAGCCAGGAATGAGTATTGTGGGAGTGCAAAAAACATATTTGGGAGTGCAATTTTTTTGTACGTGTGTCTCAGCCAAGCTTTAGATCAATATTTTAGGCCGTGCTACACATTTTTGTCCGTGCAGTTTCAAAACTGACCGTGCAAATCACGGCTCGCTGGCTAATACGACGCACACACGTAGCGGGGGCAGCGTTTGGATCGTGCGGTCGTGGGGCAGCAGATGCAGCATTCCACCAACACTTGGGTGTGGGATTACCTGCCAGGCGTGTGGGGTAGTAAACGGGTGAAGCAGTCCAGGGGTCGAAACAGTCCGCGGCTCTCCGTGCGTTTTGCGACATTTATACGCGTTTAGTACGCGTTTTATCCATTTTTAGTAGTGTCTGTAGAACAGAAAGCTGCGGCGATCGCACGATCTAACCCGTGCGCCGCTTGTCGTGTGTTGACAGGCACCGCGCGGCTGACGCCAGCCACGACGGCGCAGATGCAGGCACCTGTGCAGAGAGTGGCTCCCTCTACTGCGGGGACGACGGTGGCGCAGCGTCAGAACGGCACGAGCGCCGCGGCGGCGCAGCGAGTCATACTGCAGACTCCATCAGGTATGCATGGCTTCATGGTCCACCGCGGGCCTGCTCCTAGCCAGAGGTCAACTGTGGCTGCTCGCGGCAGCGGTCAACTGTGGCTGGGCGCGACAGTGGTCAACTGTGGCTGCGCGCGGCAGTGGTCAACTGTGGCTGCGCGCGACAGCGGTCAACTGTGGCTGCGCGCGGCAGCGGTCAACTGGCTGCGTGCAGTGTGGACTCAGCATGGCCTCGATTTGTAATGAGCTTCGGCTCAACGTAAACCGTTGATTGGTCAACCCCACGTCGCGTCTCGCTGCGTTTGCGATGTTCGATCTGAAATGCCGAAGAGTGTTGCACGCCCGATGATGTAAGAAATATCGAGAGGCAGGGCAGTACCTCGGTGCCGCACCGGTTTCCTCTCTCCCTCCCCTCCGTCTCCTTCCCTCCTCTCTCCTCATCCTCGTTAGCTCGTCGTCCGGCCGACCGGTGCGGTCTCTGTCGTGCAGCAGTTGGCCTGTGATACACAGATTATGAGAGCTGAGGGCATCAGTACATGAATAAAACCACCCGGACCTGTTCGACCCGCGACCCATCGTATCGCCGTTCCAGACGTGCGGCGTCGTCTACCGCGCCCCCTCGCTCGTCGCCGCCGCTCTCGACTACGACCCGTTCAAGGTACGCAGCAGGGAAGAAAAAATTAAAATGTATTTTTCGGGGGCTACTTTTCAAGCTCGCGTGCATGAAAATAGCACTCTAAAATTTGGTTTGCATTGAATTCTATGCAAATTTTCGGGGGCTCTTTTTGGCATTTCGGGGGCTAAATCGCCCCGAGCCCCCGTGTATTTTTTCCACTGGTACGGAGGCTGCCGCGCTCCTCTCGTCCCGCATCCGCGTCGTCGCGGCGACCGCGTCGGGGTTTCGCAGGCGTTCGAATCTCGCTCGCTTCTTTTTTTTATCGTTTTGTTTCCCGGAGGTTGTTAGGGAGGGATTTTTTCGCGGCGCATTTGTTGTTTGATGGCTGATTTTTTTATGCGATTTGTTAACGATTTGTTGCGATTTGTTAATCTTGACTAATCATGTAATTGTTAATTTAGTTACTTAACGAGTGCGGAAAGTGATTGTCTAACGAGGGATTAGCTGTGGCTTCCTCCTTCATGTATCACGTGTCCTTCCTTCTTCACGGATGAGAATTTTCCGCGGAAATCCTCGGATTTGACAGTCCCAGGGGTCGATTTTGTGAAACGACTAAATCCGTTGAGAAAATTTTAGGGGGGGGTAAGAATGTACAAATCTTCATTTTACAGCCCAACACTAGGGGGCACAAAGTTTTTTGTCATTGGCCATTCTCATCCCTGTTTCGTTCTTCCTCCGTGCAGCACGTGGATCTGTCGAGCATAGGTGCGCTGCTAGCGGACCTGGAGCTGGTGCTGTCAGCGCACGCGGCGCGGCGCACACGCCTGCTGCAGACCCCATCCTACCTCATAGAGGAGATAGACGAGGAACCGCCCCCCGCGCCGCGACCCCCCGTCATGCGGCTCAAGCTACCCATCCCTACCACTTACCAGGTGGTGCAGCATACGGTGAGTGCAGCACACAGACAATACCAGGTGGTGCAGCACACAGACAATACCAGGTGGTGCAGCACACGGTGAGTGCAGCACACAGACAATACCAGGTGGTGCAGCACACAGACAATACCAGGTGGTGCAGCATACGGTGAGTGCAGCACACAGACAATACCAGGTGGTGCAGCATACGGTGAGTGCAGCACACAGACAATACCAGGTGGTGCAGCATACG